TTGTCACAGTGTTTTCCCTTTTATGTGGCAAGGTACATACCTCGCTAATTACATGTGTTTTGGCCATATTGATAAACCACTCTTTTTTATTTGGAGCTCATGTTTAGTGCTGTGTGCATGGAGTGAAGAGTAGTAAGCTATTTGGTATTGAAGAATTCATTTAAGGTGCAAAAAAAATTGTAAAACAATGTATAATAAATGTTCTTTCCTATATTTAGATGTCCCTGTTCATCAGTAAACTCAAGCAGGGCTGCATTACTGCTTTCTATGTGGAGTATGAAGACTGGACGGGAGACTGCAATGCAAGACAGCCTATCACAAGACTGAAAATGATATTTTCACAGCTCAACAGGACAGAAGGTGCTTTTATTTTGTTTGTTACCATGCCAGCGAAGTGCTTGTGCATAATATTGTGTACCTCAAATAAGCTGTTTCTGATAACAAAGTTTAGGAGCACATACCCGGAAGCCATATAAACATTTTTTCTAAACAATTCTTTGTGTCAAGCAGGGTTTTTCTTTCACTCAGGGAGCCTGTCACATCTATTATGAAAGGTATAGAGCGAGTGGTCTCAAACTTGCATCACTTGTTGGGCTGCAGTAACCAAATTTAGTCCAGAAAAGGACCGGCACACCAATAAATGAATTAGTAGAAAGTGAGGGGGGAGAGAAAAAAATAATTTTGAACAAAATATCAGCTAACGTAGCCATTTGTAAAAGGCATTTGGCATCGGGGTTTGAGAAGCATATCGACAGGGATCTACACCATGACTAACATCTGGACACCAATCCAAAGTATGTATTTGTTCCGTGGTTATGTTTCAACAAAAAGTGATTGTATGGCTGCCTCACCAGTCGCATCTGCCTAGCTTACTCATTAACTATGAAGGCGAGAAAATAATGCCATTTAGCAATGTTAGAAACAGTCAGAAACAGTGAAGCATGGAAACTTGGGCAAGTTGGTAGGACATAACTGAGTATATGAACAGTGTTACTTAGAAGTAGTTACAGCGTAACTATTTTTAAGTTGTGCTATTGCCAGCGCTCTTTTCTATCCTTGTTTTTTCACTTCCGTAGTAACGCTGTAACTATTTCTAAGTTGCTCTGCTCGTATATTCAGTTATGTCCTATTAACTTGCCCAAGTTTCCACACTTCATAAAGTCTATCATAAAATAAATGTGAGACGAAGACTTATGTGCCAGCCACGGGCCGCACGATTGAGACGTAGGGTGTAGAGCATAGTCATCATCATCATCATCAGCCTGACTACGTCCACTGCAGGACAAAGGCCTCTCCCATGTTCCGCCAGTTAACCCGGTCCTGTGCTTGCTGCTGCCAATTTATACCCGCAAACTTCTTAATCTCATCTGCCCACCTAACCTTCTGTCTCCCCCTAACCCGCTTCCCTTCTCTGGGAATCCAGTCAGTTACCCTTAATGACCAGCGGTTATCCTGTCTATGCGCTACATGCCCTGCCCATGTCCATTTCTTCTTCTTGATTTCAGCTATGATATCCTTAACCCCCGTTTGTTCCCTAATCCACTCTGCTCTCTTCTTGTCTCTTAAGGTTACACCTACCATTTTTCTTTCCATTGCTCGCTGCGTCGTCCTCAATTTAAGCTGAACCCTCTTTGTAAGTCTCCAGGTTTCTGCTCCGTAGCTAAGTACCGGCAAGATACAGCTGTCATATACCTTTCTCTTGAGGGATAGTGGCAAACTACCTGTCATAATTTGAGAGTGCTTGCCGAATGTGCTCCACACCATTCTTATTCTTCTAGTTACTTCAATCTCGTGGTTCGGCTCTGCGGTTATTACCTGCCCTAAGTAGACATAGTCTTTCACAACTTCAAGTGCACTATTACCTATCTCGAAGCGCTGCTCTTTGCCGAGATTGTTGTACAATACTTTCGTTTTCTGCAGATTAATTTTAAGACCCACCTTTCTGCTCTCCTTGTCTAACGCCATAATCATGAGTTGCAATTCGTCCCCCGAGTTACTCAGCAATGCAATGTCATCGGCAAAGCGCAGGTTACTAAGGTATTCTCCATTGACTCTTATCCCTAACTGTTCCCATTCTAGGCTTCTGAAAACCTCCTGTAAGCACGCGGTAAATAGCATTGGGGAAATTGTGTCCCCCTGCCTTACACCCTTCTTGATTGGTATTCTGTTGCTTTCTTTATGAAGCACTATGGTAGCAGTTGATCCCCTGTAGATTTCTTCCAGAATGTTTATATATACTTCATCTACGCCCTGATTCCGCAGTGTTTGCATAACGGCTGATATTTCTACTGAATCAAACGCCTTCTCGTAATCTGTGAAGGCTATGTATAGGGGTTGGTTATACTCTGAGCATTTCTCTATTACCTGATTGATAGTATGAATGTGGTCAATTGTTGAGTAGCCTGTTCGAAATCCTGCTTGTTCCTTTGGTTGATTGAATTCTAATGTTTTCTTTACTCTGTTAGCAATTACCTTGTAAATAGCTTATATACTACAGAGAGCAAGCTGATCGGCCTGTAATTCTTCAAGTCCTTGTCATCTCCTTTCTTATGTATTAAGATGATGTTAGCGTTCTTCCAAGACTCTGGTACTCTTCCCGTCAGGAGACACCTCGTAAACAGGGTGGCTAGTTTTTCTAACACAATCTGTCCTCCATCTTTCAGCAGATCTGATGTTACCTGATCCTCACCAGCAGCCTTGCCCCTTTGCATGCTCTCCAAAGCTTTTCTGACTTCTTCTATCATTACTGGTGGGGTGTAATCTGGGTTACTGCTAGTTCTTATAGTATTAAGGTCGTGGTTGTCTCGGCTACTGTACAGATCTCTGTAAAACTCCTCTGCTATTTTAACTATCCTATCCATATTGGTAGTTATTTTGCCTTCTTTGTCCCTTAGTGCATACATCCGACTTTTGCCTATCCCAAGTTTCCTCTTCAATGCTTTGACACTTCCTCCGTTTTTCAGAGCGTGTTCAATTCTCTCCATGTTATACCTTCTTACATCGCATACTTTACGTCTATTAATCAACTTCGAAAGCTCTGCCAGTTCTATTTTGTCTGTTGTACTTGACACTTTCATGATTTGACGCTTCTTAATTAGGTTCTTCGTTTCCTGGGAGAGCTTGCCAGTGTCCTGTCTAACTACCCTGCCTCCAACTTCCACTGCACACTCCGTAATGATACTCGTCAGATTATCATTCATTGTATTTACGCTAAGGTTGTTTTCCTCACTAAGAGCCGAGTACCTGTTCTGCAGCGACATTCTGAATTTCTGTACTTTCCCTCTCAGTGCTAGCTGATTTATTGGCTTCTTGCGTATCAGTTTCTGCCGTTCCTTCTTCAAGTCTAGGCGAATTCGAGACCGTACCATTCTATGGTCACTGCATCGTACCGTGCCAATCACTTCCACATCTTGCACGATTCCAGGGTGTGCACTCATTATAAAGTCTATTTCGTTCTTATTTTCGCCATTAGGGCTCCTCCATGTCCACTTGCGGTTTTCTCGTTTTCGGTAGAAGGTATTCAAAATCCGTAAATTATTGCTTTCTGCGAATTCTACTAGTAGCTCTCCTCTGGCGTTTCTAGTACCGATGCCATAATTTCCTACTGCCTGGTCTCCAGCCTGCTTCTTCTCTACCTTTGCATTAAAGTCGCCCATCACTATAGTATACTGTGTTTTTACCTTACTCATTGCCGATTCCACGTCTTCATAGAAGCATTCAACTGAAGCGTCATCATGGCTGGATGTAGGCGCGTAAGCCTGTACTACCTTCATCTTGTATCTTTTATTCAGTTTAATTACGATACCTACCACCCTTTCATTAATGCTATAGTATTCCTCTATGTTGCCAGCTATGTTTCTGTGAATTAGGAACCCCACTCCCAGTTCTCTTCTGTCTGCCAAGCCCCTGTAGCAAAGGACGTGCCCATTCTGTAGCACCGTATAGGCCTCATCTGTCCTCCTAACCTCACTGAGCCCTATTATATCGCATTTAACACCCTCTAGCTCCTCGAATAGTACAGCTAGACTTCCCTCAGTAGATAAGGTTCTAGCATTAAACGTTGCCAAGTTCAGGTTCCAATGGCGGCCTGTCCGGATCCAGAGATTCTTAGCACCCTCTGCTGCGTTGCAGATCTGACCGCCGCCGTGGTCAGTTGCTTCGCAGCTGCTGGGGACTGAGGGCCTTGAGTTATTTGACATAAGCATGTGGGAGGTAGTGGCCAGATACTGCACCAGGGTGGCCAATCCTTCTCTGGTGAGGGAGTGCGTTTTCGGCGGTGTTTGCCGGTGAGGCCGCACCCCAGGCCTCTTAATGCAGTTCCATCAACACGGTTTTTTTTTTTTTTTTTAATTCGGTTGGAAACTGTGCGGTACCGGGATTTGAACCACGGACCTCTTGCATGCAAGGCGGATGATGCTCTAACCACTACGCCATCGCCGCAGTGCGTGCCGACATCGGTCCACGGTAAAACTACAGTGACGGCAATGCTCTGTTACATGTCAGATGAGCACAAGCTTCGCCCGTACCTCATATTTAAATGGCAGACGCTCACGAAAGCGGTCGTTTTTTCGACTGGTGTGATCGTGCGGGCCAGGGAGAAAAATGGGTGCGCGTTGCAATCGATGTCTTACGTTTTTTTTTTTTCGCTGTGGAAATCGGGTGCGCGTTACAATCGAGGGCGCGGTAGAATCGAGTAAATATGGTACATGCAACACTGGTGGCTATAGTACTTAAATGTTATTGTGCTAGTTTTCCAATAAGTTCATGGATGTCCCTTGTTATCGCCAAGGGGTTGGCAATTCTAATGTCCATTTTGACAGGCTCATTCATGGCTTTCTATGAATTTACATTATGCCTAATACACTCAAATCTGTGCTCTGTGCCGGCATGAATGATGCCCACTATTCTCCATCCATTATTTCACTCCGGGAGCTGTATGAATAAAACAGCTTCCTATTTTCTCTTGAGCAGATAGCACAACTCCTGCCATAACAACACCGATGCATGTGGAGAGCACAACCGCACCGATCCCTGTGAAGAGCATGACACCAGTCCATGTGGAGAGCACAACCACTCCAACCCATGTGGAGAGCACAACTACACCAGTCCACGTGAGGAGCACCACACCAGTTCATGTAAAGAGCACAGCCACAACAGGGCCAGTGGAGCACATGGGTAGCTATTATTCTTGCTATCGCTACTATTGTTAGTACGAAAAGCTACAGTTAATGTGACCATTCTTTCTGTATGTTTTTCTTTTCATGTTTTGTACAAATGATTCCTTCGTCTTCATTGAGCAAAGGAGGAGGGTGAAACAAATGCCGTAGAGAGGTGTCTTGACACACCTTCATCCCCGACAAGATATGCTTGTACAACAAATTGCAAAACAGGCAATAATGATGCTTGTCCACACTGACATGAAAAATCTTTTCTTGCTTAGTAACCTATATTGCATAAATCTTATACATTCCGCTGGTATTGTCACTGCTAGTGGCACTAAAACGAATGTTCTATGCAGTAACATTAAAGAATTGCGTCTTCTTACCCAATACCACTTAGATTGCCTAAGCTTCCATAGATATCTATGAAAGCCTAGTCTGGCTTACAATATTGAGGGAAAAGGTTCTGTCTAGCTTCGTGAAAGACTCATAAGGGAATATGGCTGACTCTCCTGTAATTGAGAGAAGATTTAAGCATGAAATGTCTACTAGTAAAGCAGATTGGTTGAAAATTACACTAGCCTCAATCCTATGCATGTTTGCAAGGGCACACCCTTATGGACATGCATAAACCTTATCACAGTAACGAAAGAATGGGAATATTAAGGGCTCATTTGTCATGCACATTATCAATTAGAAGTAACATGCAATAAAGCCAGAGAAAATACAGGGGGTGTTATTTCTTGTAATTATGATTTAATTCTGAAGAAAGTAAAGGAGACAATAATATGACTGGTGTCACGAAGTACATGTGTCATGGCCCCAGCAGGCAGAAAAATAATGTTTGCTAAATGCTTAATGCAACATTGTTATGATGAGACTTCAACTTATAACATGTGCAAGAATGTTTCACATAGATGTAGTTTTTGCTCAAATTAACCAGCAAAAAATGCTAAATAGCAGCGGTAACTAAACATCAATCCTCCTGTTCTTCTTTTCAGCACCCGTCATCTGTCTGTTCTCTCGTCGACTCCCCAACTTACTCCTTGCAGCTCAGCTGTGCCCCTACATGGCTTACATGGGCCTCATGCATCATGCCAGCAATGATCGCTTCTACATAAATGATGGTAACCATCAAATATAAGTGCATCATTTTTAGCCATTTTTAAGATTAACTACACATATTGTTCTCTGTTGAGGAAGTGCTAATGAGGAAAGATAAGGTAACATTGAATTTTATTGATATACTTACACACTTTACTTTAAACGAACACTAAAGGCAAATATTAAATGAACTTTAATTACTGAAATAGTGCTTCAGAAACTTCGTAGTGCTAGTTTTGTGTCAAGAAAGTGCTTATTTTGAAATAAAATTATGTTTTAATGGTCTGTATCACTTAGTGCACTTCAAATCACCCGCGCCTGAAAGTGGTCTTTCAGATGTAATTGTTACTGTGCCTAATGTTGCCCGCCTTTAGTGCGTGGCTGCTGACACTAGTGGCAGCAGAGCAAAAGTAGCGGGAGGCACAGTAGCAATGATGACCGTTGAACAATTTTCTGCAATTTCGGAGGCCATGATTCTGCATGCTAGGTTCAACAAAGTCCTGCTAGATAGCACTGCCTAGTTAGCGTAACCAGCCAAAAGCTGAAATTTTGAACCACTCATGCCATTCGCTGTAGTAACACTAGGTGGTTCTTTTTTCATAAATCAAGCAGAAACAGACAATCAGCATTTTATTATGTCTCTCTTGATGCTTGAAAAGTTCTTTTTTATTGCAGCTAGTTTGATCACTAGAGATTGGTTGTAGGCAGACACTCTGACGTCGTTATGATCATTTCGCAAATGTCCCACTCGTGGCACACATTGTGTGATATATTTAGTTTAATTTCTTAGTAAATGAGGCACTGCTGTTGATAATATTGTCGTTTTAGCCATTGTCATACATTGAGCTTATTTCTGACATAAATTGTCTTTTGCCTTTAGTGTCCCTTCATAAGGACATGTAATTACGTTATCATTTATGTGTTTAGACTGTTAAGTGTATTTTTTATGTGGTTACAACAATGTTTATTGTCCTTAATAAAGATATTTATGTTTTAGATGACATCAAAGTTTAGTTTTTTTTGTTTTGTGCACTTTTGTCGTGCTGTGGGCAGACTTTATAGTTGTGGCACTTGTGTGTGTTGTGTTTTTGGGCTGAAACTGTTGACTTACCATTTCTTCACATTTGTATAACTGTAGACCTTAATTCATCCTGTCATTTCTTTACTTAGACGCTGGCCTGTACCAGTTCCTGACTCTCGGGAAGCAGGATGTCCAGCATCTCATTATTGCAACAGTGCCCATGTACTCACACTTGCTGATAAAGCTGCGCGAGACCTTTTTACATGATGGTGTGTCTCGCCTGATGTACAGCATCTCGAGGGACCATCCCCTCGAGACCCTTCATGGAGTGATGCTGCTTTCCACGTCAGTGGTTGACTTGAATAGCCTCTATAAAGTGTCATCAGTAAGTTGTCATTTCAATCACCTTTGTATTCCGTAGTTTGTGGGGCTTTATCAAGGATGTACACTTCTTTTTAAAACTTCTTAATAAAAAGTTCTTCATAAAGTTCTTCATCTATTTTTATTTGACTTGCTGATTTTGTACTTCTTTGTGTGCAAATTTCAAGTATGCAATTGATAATAATAGCTTTAGTTTGTGCGGCCTTATAGGCCAAAACTACGATATGATTGTGAGGCATGCCATAGTGGACGGCTCCGGAAATTAAGACCCCCTGGTACTTTTCAACAGGCTTCCAGCATTTAAAATATGGAGTTTCGTTTTCCAGCACATTAGTATGTAGTTATTAAAGTATAAGACATTCTATATGCCTTTTTGTAAGCGTCATTTTTGCTAAACCGAGAGGTTACTAAGTAAATCAGTGTATCACAATCGATTCAAATGAGAACTGTATGTAATGTAACAGTAGTAGATGGTTTAAACCCACTTGAGCGATCTTTACTGTGTTTAACATCCCTCAAGTGAGAGTGGATGTCAAGCTGTAATTTCGTTTGTAAAGGTTTAACATGTCATAGCTTCAGATCAAATGAGTCTACAGCATTTATTCTTGTTTTACGACATACAGTTCTCATTACAGGTGTTGAGCCATGATGATTTGCTTACTTATTTTCTAAGTTTACAAAAATAATGCTTCTAATAAGGCACATAAGATATTTCATACTGTAAAAAATACATAGTGTACTAAAAAATAATTGCATATTTGAAATCAGCATGAATATGTACATAAATCTAGCAAGTTTTATTGAAATTGATGAAATTTTTATAATTTTTGTAGCACTGTGTGTTCATTTAAGTGGTGTGTCTACTTTTTTATTGATGAGTGATACAAAGCGGAAGAAAAGGAAATGATAAAATGGGAACCAGATAAGTGCAGTTGCCGGTCAAACTTAGACAGACGTATTGCATTGCAGGACATTCGAAGCTACCTTCATACAAAGATGCGTTTGAAACTTTATCTTGCCGTCCAGACTGTGGGATATAACACAAGCTTTGATCCGTTGGTAAAGTTAAAGAGGTATGTCAATTTTTCTTTTCCATTTTTCACTGGATACTTAAATAACTTGTAAAACTTTTTTTCCAGTTCATGTGACCGGCTAATACTATACACCAATCCTTTCGTACCGTCTCCTCACTGCAAAATAATGCCAATAGTCTATCAAGATCTGGATGCTCTAGACAAGAGATTCTTCGTAAGTGTACTTTTTAACTATTGCACAAAATCATTGTTTTACTTGTTTACAAGCAAAGTAAATTTTTTTTAGATCGTGAATACATTGTTCATTTAGTGAATTTGACACACAGATGCTGGTACTCTGAAACAAAATGGTGATGCTATTCTTTCTTTCTCTATCTGTTATAGAAAAGGGGAGAAAAAGGGGAGTCTGTTCCATGCATTACACTTAATTTGGCTGTTCGCCGATATCGACTAGCGGATGGAAAATCTGATTTTAATGATGACTGTGTCAAGGAATACTGGGAAAATTATTCAGAAGTAAGTAATATTTTTTGTAATTCTCGGTTTTCACTACAATAATGTTTTCCACATTCCGAGAATAACCTGTTTTAAGATATGTAGAGAGAAGAATAATTCAAGATAGAAACAATAAAATTGAGGTTAAATAAATTTGAGGTTAAATAGCGTTTATATAGGCACCAGTTTTGAAAATAAAAATTGAGACACTAACATCCAAAATAAGCATTTATAGGCACTATAAAAACACTATAAGAGTTGTTCTTACCCTGTAATTTGTGCTCATATGTCAAAATGGCACAAAAGGGAACACAAAAAATAAGCATTTGCCTATGATCCGGTCTCCAGTAATGAGAGACAACTGTCAACTAGATGAAATTTCCTGTTTGACAGTTTTAAATGTTCCAGATTAAGAATATTTACGTGGCTCATCTGTATTTTTCTGTTTTGTTTTTTGTAATGCAGACCTGCCCTGATAAACCAGGAGTGAGAGGATCTACTATGACATCAGCATACTTGAAGACTGGCGAGAATATGCTTGTTTTTGAAGACGAAGCCAGCATTGAAAGAAAGGTGCGTAGGTGAATATTTACATATTTGTAAAGTGCTGGTCACTACTGGAGAGCACTTAACATAATACTAAGGTCAATGTACCTAATGTACTAGTCAGAGGCCTTCACTAAGTTGCATCCATGGCAGAGCTGTGCACATTAGTATGTTTCATCATGTTGATAGTGCCAATTAGCATAAGCACTAAGAACAGCATTGCCTTATCTGACAGTTATTCTATATGCCACAATTTAGATTGAATCAGTACTAGGGTGAAAAAAGTGGGAGCGGCCCACTACGTGTTAGTTCATGCCCGACGGACCTAAATAGAGTTCTTCCATGCCATACCATATAGCAACCAGGGATCCAGCCGAACATTTTGTTAATGTTCTGGTGCAAATGCTTTCCACAGCTAATAGTGTAAAATGTAGTTCAGCATTACACAGTAATTTCTAATTTGCTGTATTGCTTTCAGCAGACTTCATGAAATTGGCTTCTCTATACTCATGTTTAACAATATTAATGCACTAAGCAAGTTTGGTGGGATGGTTAAATGCGCTGTGTATTATACAACATGAGTTGAAAAAATATGTTGCAGCTCCCAAATTGCGAAAGGTGTACTATATACTTGAGAATGTGTTTAAAAGCAGTCAAATATTATTAGAAGAAACACAATGCGCATATTCATTGTAAAGAGGTTTGCTGTTTAAAGCTCTTACAGCCTCAAAAGAATAAGGAAGAAAAACCAAAGCGTCAGCTGAATTTTTAGTGTTGTCTTTTTCATTCCTGTTTACTTGCAGCAGCATCTTTTACCATATGTGCTGTGTAATTTATACACTGACAACACATATTGCAAATCTCTTGTACATTTTTTTACGTCACATTTATGCTTACTCAGCAGTGATACACATAGTAGAGTCGAATCTCGTGAATTCGAACACGCTTAATTCGAATTTCTGGTTAATTCGAGCTCACGCTAGGTCCCGTCAAAGCTATGTGTATTTCAATAGGCGAAAATGCCCTGTAATTCAAACGCCTGAGCACTTGCGACAGTTAATTCGAGCATGACGCGTTCAGAAAATGCTCTCAGCACCATGCCCAATCCCGCGCTGGTGTCTCCTACACCTCAATGCTGCGTGCGAAAGAAAAGAAAAGGAAAGAAAAGGCTGCGGTGGAATGTTTGCTCTCCCTCAAATGTCGGTCTGCGACGCGCCTGTGCCACACTTCTCCCTTCTCCGTCCCTGCCATGTAAAGACCCTTCACCTTTCAACACGCTGCGCGAAGAGAGAGAGAGAGGAAAAAAAAAAGCTGTCACGGAGTGTTGGCTCTCCCTCACGTGCCGGTGACGTGCCTCCCCCTTTCCCGCCCCTGCCACGTAGACCCTTCCCCTTTCAACGATGTGCACGAAAAAAGCAAAAAAAAAAAAAAAGCTGATGTGAAGTGTTAGTTTTCTCTCAATGCTGATCTGCTTCTCTCCGCGTGGAGGCACTCCTCCTTTCTCGTCACGTGCTGGCCACACTGTGGTGCTGCGTAGCAGAGACGCAGTCGTTGTTGTCGTCGTGTTTAGAGAGTGTTGACGCTGGACATTGCCGCGCGCAACTTTTTTTGCCAGGAGAATGCTGAAGCCGAAGTAGAAATGCATTGCAAGCTCCGTGCGAAATTGACTCGCTGTAAGGCAAACATGTGCAGACGCGCATCACCGATTACTTCAATTATTGACGAATGTCTTGTGAATCGTGAATAAATGTAAGTCTTCTGAAACTTCCCCCTCGTATGTTAGCTCAACGCACATGCACCACTGCAAGGTGAGCCCTCCATTCATTTTGCTTTCAATAATTCGAACTTCTTTTAATTCAAACAAATTTTTGGGCCCCTTTGAGTTCGAATTATCTAGATTCAACTGTATCAGTTTGTCTGCAGCCCTTTGTATGATAGCTGATCAATGCGGTCATTTAGTTAGGAAATCATGCCAACCTGTGCAGCTAGGCAGCTCTCACCTACTGGGGATGATGGCACAGCTACATTGCAAAGAAACTGCAGGCTGTGATTCGGAAGGCATAATTGTCGTAAAGTGACCTTGGTTAAGCCCAATTTGTCAAAATCTAGGTTTTTTCTTTCCTGTGGTCAAACACAGCTATAGCTTGGCCACATGGGTGTCGTAATGCTATACAGATGTTTACAAGAATGTAAGTGCATTTTTGTTGCAAAATAGGGAAAGGGTGTTGCTTTACTTATGGCTGCTCATTGTTGGAGAAGGCACTCCTGTTTTTCATTTTGCCTTCCTTCTAATATTGTCGTTGGATTGTTGTATTATCTAAAGTTCACATTTGGCTAAGCATGTGATCTTTCTGTTCCAGCTCTCCAAGCTCATGCAAATCAACCCTAGCATATGTGTGATGGCCACATCTATTGAAATGGAAGATTGGAATCGCAAGTGCGCTGTTCGACCAGTTGCGGCCTCCAGGATGCTTGCCATTGCCAAGTATGGAGGTGGAGGTAAGATCCGTGTTGTCATAGCAAGACTTCTATACCCCTCTTGCAAAGCCTTTTTGTACTCACGTTTTTATTTTCCACCCCTTTTTGCTTCACTTTGTGTCTTGCAGAGACCGTGCCTCCTCCTTTGCAAAGAAATGGTAAGCTTGGAGAAGGGTTTGTTAAACTTTGCTGATTTTCCAGTAAGAATAAGTGGCCCATTAGACTATCCCTCTATCTTTCGTGCTTAAACAGTTTTTTTTATAGATGTGTTCTTTCCATGCACCAACGTATACCACCCAAAAAAATCTTTAATAAGCAATTGGCTTGATGCAAAAATCTTATGGGGATAGATCAAACTGCATGAACCTTTAACGCAAACACTATACAAACTGATTTAAACAGTGCCATGCATTTTTTCTTTTTTTAAACTGTTGTCAAGCTGTTGCATCACCAGATGTGATGTCGTGCATTTCACGTTACTAATCTTGGAGTCATGTTGTCTCCAAGATTGGTAAAATGTAAAGCATGACTCCATACAAGCCCTTCATGCTCGCATGTTCATCTATTTTTTAATGATGACCATATTTATCTTAGTTATTTAATGAGAGCCAATAATTATTGTTGCAATATTACATGATGTATAAGTATCATTTTCAACTTAATATGTCCTTCATGTTCTTGTGTAGTTCTATGGTTAATAAAAATAAGCTGTATTTTTCAGAGATATCATTAACTTTCCCAATGCTGCTCTTCCCATACACCGTGCAAAAGGATTGTGAAGGTTTTTGTGAAAGCCTCTAGATATTGAGTTTTGTTTTAAGCTACTTCATGCACTTCTGCAATTAATGGCACCAGATCATGTATCTGTCAAGCTGTTGCATCGCCAGATGTGATGTCGTGCATTTCACGTTACTAATCTTCATGTACCTTGCCTTCTATGCTAATATTATTGCTGGAATAAATGCTTAAGGTTTCTATTGTGAGTAAACATTTTCTTGCCTATAGTGTTACGTCGGTGATAAAAAAGCCAGAAAAAAATGAAATATATGAAATGCAGATGTTAAAAGTCAGCCTTGAAATAATAATGGAAAATGACAAACGAATTTAGAATAAATGAAGGCCAAGTTTCATCATAGCTTTCAGCATGAGCAATCTCTGAAAAAATAGAAACACCAGTTTGTCCCTGTATAAAGGAGCAGGGATCTTCTATAAGACTGGTGCATTTCAAGCTCAGCCTGGTTGTGTGCTGGAAGTGTAAAATGCAAACAGCACATTGCCACAAGAAATTTAATTTGTTTCTTGTACCATGCCTCCTATGATACGTGACACCGGCACCCAGTATGCACATCATAAATGTCGAACTTTTTCTAGCATTCATAGTTAACAGCAGAACCATCGACAAACTAACGGCAGGTTAACCCTTTCAGCCCTGGATTTTTTATTTTGGTCGGATACACTTTTTGTGCGCGTTTTTGTCGTAGTTAGGACCTCAGAAGACCAGAAACAAAAAATTGAGCCACTGGTGCAAGCACTTTCGGATTAATTAACGTGACATCAAATTAGGTAATTAGGGCCCAGTGATTAGAAAAAGAAAAAATTGGCTTCTTTTTTGCTGCCAATCAATGGTGCACACAAAATGAAAACCAACGTCTTACTTTTCAGCCTAATACTCACTGAAACAGCTTCGGTACGTCGTCCCAAAAATGGCGCTTACCCGCCTCAACTTACGCGCCTCGGCTTCATGGAAGACCTTGGTCGCACTTCTTCTTCTTTGTGGCTGCTACCTCGACAAACGTTCTGCAATATTGGTGTCAATTGCAGTGGGGATCATTGAAGAATTATGCCCCCAAGAATGAGCATTATTGGTTACGTTTCCGAGATACTAGGGCAAATGTTGTGCGGTGGTGTCAATTGACACCGCCAGGGCCGAAAGGGTTAACAGCAGATCCATCGAATAGGGAATCAGCCCCTATTCAGCAGTAGAAACAAAAACCTACGCCTTGTTAATGTAAATGCGCAAAGTATTGTAAATAAAACTGACCTCCTTGAAATCACTTTACTCCAGCATGATCCGCACGTTACAGTAATCACTGAAACATGGCTACGCAACGAAATAAGTCATGATACAATATTCCCACCGAACTACAAAGTCTTTCGCAAAGACCGCGCCTCTAGGGGTGGCAGTGTGGCGGTTCTAATCAAACAACAGATTGAAGCCATATTGCTGGACGATGTTGCCGACTTGGAGTGCTTGTGCATTAAACTATCTTGTTGGGGTCAGCATTTTATTTTATACGCGCTTTACCGTCCTCCAGACACGCCCCCTGAATACTTAAGCAAACTTGAGCAACATATGTCTCAATATCACAAACATAAAATTATTCTTGTAGGTGACTTCAATCTACCAACTATTAATTGGGAATTAATGCACACTGGTCACCAGAATGTTGAGCATGCTAATATTATGTTCAGTATTATGTTCACTCATGATTTGGCCCAGCTGGTTCATGACCCAACGCGTGTCCAGGGGTCTTGCAGTTCAGTTTTAGATCTGATATTTTTCAATCGTGCGTTCAGCGAATATACCGTATTAATCCGGATTATCCGATTATCCGAGATACCGTAAGTAATCCGCATTATCTGATCACTATCTTGTGGGCCTTTCCATCCCACTGTTGAAACGTGGTGATAAGAAACGCTGTCAAGTGCGGTCTTTCAAAGACTACTCCCGTGCAGATGACACATCCATAGTTGATTATCTGGAGACCGGTCTTGTTGACTTTGACAATGATGACGTATGCGCTCTCTGGGCCCAGTTAAAAAAAATGTGTGAACACTGTTCAGCTAAATTTGTCCGAAACCTGAAAAAGAAAACTCACAAACAGACCCCCTGAATAACACGTAGTATTATTCACTTGAAACGTAAAATTAAACGTCTAAAAAAGAAGCGTGCGGATTTGACTAAAATCGGACAATTGCAGGCTAGCCTCGCACAAGCTGTGCGGTCTTCTAAGGATTATTATTTCCAAACAACTCTCCCAAACTTCATAAAAATGACCCAGAAAAATTTTGGTACCACTTGACGGATAAAAAAAAGCCTGTATCCGAAATGTTAGTAAATGAATTTATTGTTACAGACAAAGAGACTATAGCTGAGCATTTCAATATATACTTCCATAGCGTGTTTACTAGCCCAAGTGTATATCCATCTGATGTTCCATCGTTTCACACGACAGAGACTGACTTTGTTTCGTACCCGGGTGTATTTTTCATGCTCTTAAAACTGAAAACTAAGAAATCAAGCGGTCCTGATAATATTCCAAACACCTTTCTTTGCCAATATGCAGAAGTGATAGCGAAATATCTTGTGATTATATTCCGTGTATCTTTGATATCTTCAAAGCTCCCTAGAAACTAGAAGGCAGCCCGAGTTGCACCGGTATTTAAAAAAGGTAACCGCTTCCTTTTTGAAAATTATCGTCCAATATCCTTAACATCAGCATGCTGTAAATTAATTGAGCATATAATCGTGCATCATATCACCAAATATCTTGAAAAAAATGCTGTCTTAACTGATTCTCAACATGGTTTCAGAAAAGGGTTTTCAACTGTGACTCAACTGCTCACCATATCTCATTCCTTTGCATCTACTCTAGATAAGAACGGTCAAACTGATGCGATATTCTTGGATTTTAGTAAAGCGTTTGACAGGGTTCCTCATGACAGGCTAATACTAAAATTGAACAATATTGATCTTCCTCGCATCTTAGTTTTCTGGGTTATTGATTATTTAAAAAACCGAACTCGGTACGTAGAAATTTGGGATCAGCGATCGGGTTGTCTTTCTGTCGCCTCTGGAGTACCACAGGGGAGTGTCTTGGGACCATTACTGTTCCTGCTGTATATAAATGACATTGTAAGTGTGGTATGTTCATCTGTGCAAATTCGTCTGTTCGCAGATGATTGTGTCTTGTATAATGAAATTACTTGCCCGGAAAATCAACATGACCTTAATCACAGTTTGTTTAATGTTTTTCAAAGGTGCAATCGCTGGGTAATGGCTTTGAACTTAGATAAAACTGTATGCATGCGTATAACCCGGAAGAAAAATCCACTTCAGTATACTTATACATTAAATGAGTCACCTCTACAGCAAGTTTCTGAGTTCAAATATTTAGGAGTAACACTCACAAGTAATTTATCTTGGAATCAACATATTGACAATATCTCCGCTTCCGCCTTCCGTAAACTGTCTTTTTTATGACACAAATTAAAAAACGCTCCTCCTGATGTTAAACTCCTGGCCTACCAATCAATAATCCGGCCAAAGTTAGAATATGCATGCATAATATGGGACCCGTTCACACAGAAAAACGTCAATAAACTAAAAAGAATCCAAAGAAAAGCTGTAAGGTATATATACTCTAAGTTTCATCACACTGATTCACCTTCTGAGTTAATTAGAGCTAATGGCATTGAACTCCTTGAGTCACGACGGAAGACATTTAGGCTTAATTTTCTTTCCCAACTTCTTCAAAGACAAACAGCACTTGACCCTACACAGTACCTGACACCCATATCGACAAGGCATACGAGACACCATCACCCCGGAACCCTAACACCTTATTTTGCACGGACAGATGCATTTAAATTTTCTTTTTTTCCACGAACAGTGGAAGAATGGAACCTTCTAAAAGACCCTGTTTAAAGATTCACTTCGGTTGATTTACTGTGTGTAAACTGTGTGTTGGGTGTGTAAACCTGTACTTGTATGTTGAATTCTTTCCTTTTTCCTTTTCTACGTGACTTGAGTGCCTAACATGTACTTGCTACTTCTACCGTGCCCACCTGCTTGGACCTGTGAAGGTCTGCAGTGTGCATTAAATAAACTGACCGTACCGTATTCTTAAAACACATTTTTCATCTACTACGAAAGTTTCTATTGTATGCATGATAGTGCACTGCACTTATGTATTCTTAGTAGAACTATACAATATAAAGAATATCGTGAAGCCCATAAAAGCTGTTGAGGTGCAACACGTGTGACAATGTGTTTAGTGAGGAGGCCTCTTCAATATAATTAGTGCTTGACACGTAAATGTCATTAACTGAATTTCTTAACTGTACATACTTGTTTCGCAGGAGTCCTAATATGTGTGGTGGAAAAGTCCACACTTATCGAGATGTTGCCTGAAAACCTCTGCACTCACCTGGTGTACTCAAGTGTACATTACCGCCTTGGCTCTGAACATACTTACGTAGCTGACGATGGTAAGCCAATTGTCTTGGTTGGGTATTTGTGCCATTTAGTAGATCTACCATGCCATAGGGCTTCCAGATGCAGGGCCAGGGAAGGAACTTCTTTTTGTTTCTTAGCATTGTGAACGATTGGATGAATCACAGCTTTTTTTTCTATACATGTTCATGTATAGTTAAGGGTTTGCTAATAAAATCACTTTTTGTTGACACTGTTTTCAGCAGTTATCAAAAACTAAGTGCAAATTGATACTCGTCTGCATTTCACATGCCATGTGCTCTCGCCCCCTGATGAGTGCAGTTTATAATCTTCATATTTCGACCTCGTTGCATCTCGTTGTGGATCATTGTATTAAGATGGGAATTTAACCCTGTTTCACTGAGCTGTTCATTAATCCTACACATCAGGAATGGAACCTCTTTCCTTTTGAATCTCACAGCCATTGCCAATAGTGTGCTTTTCTCCGAAACATAAGCTAACATTTTATATACAGTCAAACCCGGGTATATCGAACTCGCCAAAAAATGTTTATTAACTCGATATATGGCATAATTCGATATAGGCCTGGTATAGGTTTTGACACAAAGACACATAACAAACTAGAAGAAAAGTACGTTATTAATATGGTGGCTTACTTGCGTGCCCTACTGTGGAACAAAATAGTCCCGGATTTTTTTCTGTGTCAACGACTTCGCTGCCTGCGACAGCACGCTCGCCTCCACGTTGTCCAACGAATCAGAGCAGCTGAGGCCGCAACCTTCCACATTCAAGCAATAGCGCCGGACCAATGCAAGTGCACTAATCACTTCGGAGGATGTAGGCAATGGGCCGTCGTCGATTTCCATATTGCTGTCGCTTTGGCTCCTGGTTGGCACGACGTCTGCAATGTAATCCTCATCCTGTAATTGGCCCATGATGGGGACATCATCGTCTGCACTGACGAACTCGTCGAATGTCGATCCATTGATAGCACCCGGGAACCCTGCCAGCTCAATACAAACTTCGGCGGAAACACCTGCGGTGTCTTCAGTGCTGTCAGAATTTGGGGTGTCATCACCAGGCATGCGGAAGTCGGCATGCCTAAAGCAGTTCTGGATCGTCTCCTTCTTGACATCTGCCCACGATCTACTCAACATAGAAATAGCTCCGAGCAAGTCGATCTTAAGCTCTCTTCCGACACGAAGGTTCTTCAGCAGCCTCTCCACCAGGCACTTTTGATAGCCGGCTTTCGTTGCGCGTATAACGCCTTGATCCAGTGGTTGCAGTACAGACGGAGTGTTCGGGGACACAAAACGCAGCTTGATGTTGCTGAAGGTCGTACTGCAGTGGTGCGATAAACAATTGTCCACGAGCAGGCATACCTTACTATTTTCGCCTACCAAATCATCATTCCACGACGATAGCCATCTGCTGAAAAGCTCCCCGGTCATCCACGCTTTTGAGTTTGCTTGGTAGGTAACTGTAAGCGACAGCGCATTTCGAAAACACGGCGGTGCTGGGCTTTTCCCGATAACCAGAGGTCGAAGCTTTTTCTATCCATCTAAATTAGCTGCCAACAGCACGGACTCACGAGCTTTGTTTGCCTTGCCGCCGCTTGTCTTGTCGCTACGACACGCAAGTGTCTTGTTTGGCAACATTTGTCAAAATAGAGTGGTTTCATTCGCATTGAAGATATCTTGGGCTCTATATCTTGCTGCGATATCTCGCCAGTTTTGCTCGAGCCATTTTTCTACGCTGTCCAGGCCCGCCACTCTGCTTTCACCTGTAACAGCTTTGCCAACGATGTCGAGCCGTTCTCTGAACCACTGAAGCCAGCCTGAACTGCCTTGGAAATCATTCCTGCCAAGCAGAAAATCAAGGTCCTTGGCTTTCTGCTCGATCATAGGGCCAAACACCGAGATGTTTCACGACCGAATGTCCACAAACCACTTGTAAACGGCCGCTTCAACATCTTCGTACACAGCAGCACGCACACGTCGGGCGCCACAGGCACCTGGCCTTTTGTCCTACTTGGCCCTGATGTCTGCCTTGTTCTTCAGGATAGTACTCAAGGTGCTCCTTGGAACTTTGTATGCGGCGGCGACGTCGGACTTCTGTTCACCACGCTCAACCCGATTGATGATTTCGAGTTTCGCGGCGAATGGCAAATTTTGCCTCTTTGCGCAAGCCATGATGACAGCGCGCCAATACAGTTCACAGAGCACCAACAGGCAACACCACAGACCACGCTGAATCGGTAGCAGCAGGCACACAAGCAGAAAGAAAAAATGGCGCTCACTTCTACCGCCTCCGCGCCTCGGAGAAAGCACGGCGGCCTCTGATTGGCTGTAAGCGTTGCGAGCGGGCCAGGATCTTGGAAAGGGGTGTTCACCCATGCACAACCGGGGCTAACCAACTTTTTCTTTCTAGGGTGGCGCCGACAGATTTCTCCGCCACCGCGATGGAAAGCCAACTTGCTGGGGCACTTTTGAGGCTCATGGAGTTTGATATATCAATTGTCGTTGTTATTTTCGTTCGATAAGACAGTAACTTTTGCTATATATTCTCAATGTAAACTTACTGTGTCTTGGAATTGTTCGATATATGGGATAATTGGATATAAACGGGTTCGATATAGTCGGGCCCGACTGTATCAGGAGGATCATTATATTGCCAAAAGTTATTCCACATGTTGTTTTGTTTATCATCCTTTAATAACTCCTCATTTGAGGCCTTCAGCTTTGAATGTACTCTAAGTAAATAAGTGAGTCAATAAATAGATATTAAATCTTGTGGACTAGCCTGACATTATAGCAGCTGATATTTACAAAGTTTAATTAAATGTAACAGTAATCATTAATGTTGGGGTAAAATGTCCTTCATTCTATCTGGAACATTGCTAAGGCCAGGAGTGGCAATTCAACTGTTATAATTCCTTAATCAGGCATTATAAGATGAAAGAAAAAAATAGTGAAGTATATAATGCCACAATGTAGACTTTTGCAGGTAGGTTTTCATTTAAACCGAGCTTACAAAAACATGCCTTGCCAAGCCATTGCTGTGAGAACATTTAGTTTGCATGGTGACTACATTTAGTACGGCACCCCTCACATGAGGTGGCAAGGGTATGCCACGCCATGCAATGTAAGCATAGGGTCTGCACATGCGTCTGTGTTGCTTTCAACAGTAAACCACCCTGTACATGTATGTATTGATGCCATCAGCTAACCTTGTGTTGCTTTTGAAGTTCTGAGTTGAGCGAGGGCACTTTGGTAGAGGTATTACACTTGATGATGAGATAATTTATTACTCTTTCCTGTTTAAGAGTGGAATTATTTTTTCTTTAGGTACTGCATTCTATGCAGCATCAGACATTGCCATGAAGAGTGGTATAAATTTCCTTAGTGAGATAGACCTGACCAGTTTCTCGAATATTAATGTGGATCATGCTTTCACTGGGTTCTTGACATCAAGTACTAAATGGATCCAGGAAACGCATCAGGATGGCCTGGCTTTTATAAATGTTCCCAACAAAACTGACAACACAAAGTTTGAGTCAATAATCAAGGTAAGCTATTGAATGGATATCTTTTGGGTTTGAATTATGATAGACTGTTTATGAATGTGTCAAATTTGTGGCAATTTATTATGAGGTGCTGGCCTCATAATAAAAGTTTAGGCAGTTAATTTTTTACATGTTTTAGTGCACTATGAGAATCACAAAGTACAAATTAGTGTATGTTTTATTGCCAGTGATATTGAATTTTGGGACTATGAAGTTGAATCACTTACAATATATGTGCAGAATTTGTTTGAAGTGATAATAGAAACAAAAAAAAAAATTTTCCCACGTTGCTCTCCTTAGCAGCACGTGAACGTTCCTGAGATATGCAGCAGTTACTTTGTCCAAGTACAATGGAAAGTTGATTTTGGCAAATGCCCACAGCAGACTGCAAGTTAAATGAATACAAATTCAGCATTGTGGAGGTAGAATTTATTTAACATCGACTGTCTGTTGCTTAAATCACCATTGGAGCTGTGTCTTATTATAGTTTTCATTTTGTTCTCTCTCTGCAAGTGCACACCTCCAAGAGTAAATTGTGTAAATGAATCATTAAGACAAAGAAACTAGTTAAAGTAGATGAACAAATATCAAACTTCGAGGGCTTACTCATGGCCACCTTTATTGATAGCTTTACCAATGCTGATCACAGTCAATGATGAACAGCATGTGGCGCATCCAAAGCAACGACCCTTTAGGAACAGTGCAGTCATACCACTGCAGTCACTGGTGCCAATATCTCTTGCTCCACATATGTTAATGAATTGTGTATTGTTTTAAAATAGTAGAAGTGTTCTTTAAGATGAAAATATCGTTTTATGCTGATTTATTTCTTGGCTTCTGTAAAATAATTTGTAGGTTCTGCCAAAATTGATGTATTGAAACCATGAAATCGTGTTTCTGAACATTTTGACATCTTTTCTTTAAGTTTATTTTTCACACAGTGCATTCAGTGCACTGGGTGACTGTGTGCCTAGGACACTTCTACACCATAAAAAACAAATGGCTTTTTTTTTTCTGAGTATTTTTGTGTGAGCTCAGCACTTATTGTGTACCTTATTGTATTTTTTGTGCTTTTGTGCTTTCACTTAGCCCTTATCTTGTATTTCTTTGCAGAAAACATGGGAATATATTTCAACCCATAAATTGAAGCAGATACTTCTTGTTGGGATAGATTACAGAGATCGAAGCAGCACTGACCTTGCAAACTCACTTTCTGGGTAAGCACGCAGTTTTCTTCACAACAGCTCAAGACGGTCAAGAATGTAGGTCATGCCTGTATGTTTAATACGTGTGCCTTTTTTTACCATTTCTTTTTTTTGCCATGTGCTGCCACCCTGCGTGAATATGTGGAATTTCCTGTTTGCACCGATGTGTCTTCGTTTTTTTTTGTGTGTGCATCTGTGTGTGCATGTGTGTGCTTTACTATAGCAATGCGCTGGCTAGTTTCGGTTTCATTCTTTGACTGGTTCCTACTTGTTGTGCCTGCTAAACTAATTGCTTTTTGGTTTAGAATTTTTCAAAGGGTGACCATTTTATTATTTTCTCATTTATTTCTGCCTGTGGCATGATTATGCCCAATTCTATACAGGCGCTGACTGACATAAACGATGCCACTGTGTTTACGCTTCTTGTTTTAGGGACTCACAAGACCACTTCTGTCTCTTTAGTATATGACGAAAAAAATGCTGTAGGTTTTGAACTTGTTCGTGCTTTTTGTATGCACTCACAGCTACACAGTTTTTTTTTCGTGTACTCGCTCATACAGTTTGCTTTCACTATTGGAGTGTGCGGTGGTACAAGTCAGTCTAGGGGTGAATCCTCCAAATCGCCACTCGACTGCTGAATCAGAATCTGGTTCAGAAAATGTCAGCCCACCATAAAAAGAGTTACTCTAGAGTTAACACTCCTGTGTTCATGAGGGAACAACATATTGGAAGCGTGCACGACGAGACCATACTGGCTGGATCAGAAGTGTCTTTTCTCCCTTCACACCCCTCCCCCTCTCTTTGTTCCTACCTAACGCCACTTCATCTACTTATTTTTGTGCGTCTGTGGACTACACAGACATTTATTTCAATGCATAATTTTTTAACAGTCGTATAGTGCTTTTTAGAATTTATTTTGCTGTTACTCCTAAATAAACTATGTGTGTGTAACAACCCAAATGATTTTTTTTGTTGCCTTACGGTCTCCCAAAACTATTTTTGGCACCTTTTTTAAATAAATTTTCTGAAGAATTTCATTCAGCAATAAAAAAATACACACTGTGGAACACGTTTTGAAAAAAAAAAAAAAAAACTACTCTCAATGGGTTCATATTGACGCACATTTTGGGGGGCCTAATGTGTATGCTGCATGCTTTATTTTGTTACAGGAAATGCACACTGATGGTGTTCATTACACATCCCAGAAAAAGTTGCTGTAAAGGACCTTGCAGAGTGGCATATCCTTCAAAGCCTCAAACAGATGAAGACAGTGCTCTCATGGTACATATTCTGCTGTGTATTAATGCCATATAAAGGGCCACTCACCAGGTCTGATAGTTTTGAGCTGACAAGCACAATGTGTAAATGGGTTGTTCACGATCACATCTGTAAAAAATTTGGAACGCTATGTGCTGTAGAAATAGGTCAAATTTCAAGATGAACACTGCTCCCTCTTCCTTTCGCGGGCACGCGCCCAGAGAATGAGGGCTTGATGTGCACGCATGAATTTTCCTACATACACAGCAGTGCAGTGACTTTGGTCCTCTACATAGACGACTGTGTTCTGACATTGCCAACACTGGCACATTACATTTCGAAAATTATTTAACACAACATGCACAGTTTATGAATTTGACACTTGAAGAAATCAATAAAACTTCAGATAAATAATGAGACGCAATAAGGGAATGTACACGTCTTTTTTTCCACATTCTTCCCGTGATTGCATCGAGATGCAAGGCTAATGTGCTGGCGCTTAGCGTACATTCGTGTCCCCGTGGTCAGTGCATCGCGCAGACGACAGCCGTGGAAGTGAAAGCAACGCTTCTACGCGTTCGCATACTCATTGTGCTCATCTATTCTACTGCGTCTAAGCCAGCATTTCCAATCCATCCTGCAGAAACAAGTAGTAGATCATATAATAATGCTGGTCAACAAAACAACGCCACTCGTGTGCTTAGGGGTTGGGCTTGTTAAGGCACGTCATGCGCACATGACCTCTCAGTTGAATGCCGGACAGGGTAGGGAAGAGTAGTAGGGTTGAGAGCTGGGCTAGTTGGTGAGACATCATTTAACCATATGGTGTAGTAGCGCAATTTTCACGGGGACGAAGAGGACAAGAACACACGACACTCGCTACTGTTAGAACATATAAAAGGGCCCGTTGTAATAGAAATGAAGTTCAGTAGGGTTGAGAGCTGGGCTAGTTGGTGAGACATCATTTAACCATATGGTGTAGTAGCGCAATTTTCACGGGGACGAAAAGGACAAGAACACACGACACTCGCTCGTAGGGAAGAGATTTGGCTTGCGAAGGCTACACGGAGGAGCACAAGGGTTTCGAGTTTGCCTGCTATCATCCTTGTTTCGCACCGCTTCCAAAAACAGTTTTCTCAGCTCGTGAAAAACCAATTGAAAACATTTTTGTGGCCTAATGCTCCTCATCAGACGCACAGCAACTTCCACGGTCCGACTAAAATTTGTTATGGGACCTGGTGACTGGCACTTTAAGAATGTGCAAGTTACAATATGGCAAAGCCTATTGCAGCAAATATTTTAGGCATTAATCTAAAAGGACACAAGTGCACACTTCCGCATAACACCTCGTGACTTTGCCTTTTGTACGTATTACGAGCGATTTGCTGTGGTGGTACAGTGGCTATGATGGCCAGCTGGTGACCCAAAGGTAGTTGTTTAAATCCTGGTCACCGCCGCTGCATTGCTATAAAGGTGAAATACTACAGGCTTGTGTACTTAGATAAGGTGAATGTTAAGGAACTCTAGCTGGTCAAAACTTCCAAAGTACCCCATTGCGGAACGCCTACCACAAATGACAGAAATTAATATTATATTATATGAGCCTAAGCCTCGGTGGAAAAAGCCTTTTTCATACATAACAGCTTTATAGCAACTATTCTTTATTATGTTTGCCTCTTTCAATTTTATGCTACCTTTGCCATTTCAGAAAAAAGTTGAGTTTGACTCTGGCTCTGCAACTACTCCATGTGTATCGTTCACCATGGCTGTCAGAAAATTTCATGGTGTAAACAACACTTCATGCCATCAAGAAGAATGGGTGAACTACAGTCAGGTGAAGTCTCGCAATGTTGTATACTCATGAAAAAATTACAGTGGCATATAGTTTTGTTTCTGTGTATGCTGCCAATTATATTTTTTTTAACTAATCTCAATGGTGGTGCACGAAAAAAATAAAGCACAAAATGAAGAACCTAGATGCAGTGCACACTGACAACTGATAATTTATGACAACAATTTATGATATATATAAGCAGTTGCATGAACACATTTTTTTTTTCGCACCTCACGGTCAAGATGAGTTACCAACTCGCCTAGCACTCCGTGCTTCTTTTTAAATTTCTAACATCAGTTTTCAACTTCTAATTCAACTGATAACTACCAAATACTTATTATAACACCACTGCAAAGTAAATGTCACATAAAACGTACTGCTTAATTTTTGGTAAACTGTCATGGAAACGGAAAGTTGGCAAGTTTCACTTAGTTCAAGGGAATAGTACTTGACAAAGCAGCTGGATTTCGAATTAGTGGAAATCATGGGCCAAGACATGGTACACAGGTGAATTAAGTTCTCATTTTTTTATCAGCATAAACTTCTAAGAGGTCCATGCAATATTTTTGAGGCGCCACATTTAACCTCGCTATATGTTCAGCAGGTATGTTATGAACTCATAAGCCATTACTACTACATATGCTGGAAAAACCTGCAAGTTGAAATCTTCACTGACATTTTAATGCAGTAGCGTTAGAGAACTCGTGTAGCAGAAAACCCGCCGCCGCCAGTGACCCCGTTGGTTGTGAGCGAAAAATCGTCTGTGCATCTGTAACCGAAAAATCAAGTTACCAAGATAGCCGCAAAAGGCTTCTACTTGTCCACGCGTGCGCGCGCGTTCGAAGAAAAAAAAATGCTCAAAGTCACGAGGCACAGTAGTTTCTTTGCCCGGCCACCCTTCTCTGCTTAGCTTTCAGTGCTTTCAGTGCTTTCATTGAGATGAGAGAAGAAATAATGCAATTGCAGCATGCGATAAACCTTTGTTACTCCACTCGCACTGGACGGATTCTTTCTTAAAATTTTGTGGCAATGAATTCATGAGGCAATCAACTCTTCTAGTGAATTCATTCCATGGTTACTTGAAAAAGGGTTTTAGGGCTAACGCATTTTGTTCGACAGGTGTCACAAAAAAAACGGGCCCATTCGGCGATAATAGCGCGCGCTGGTCCAATCTACTGTGTGTGTGTTTGTGTGCGTGCATGTGTAGGTAACAAAACATATTAATAAGTATGCATTTAGCGGTTGAAGGGTGCACTAGGGGCCGGATTTCGCTATCGCGTTCAACTCTTAAAGGCGAAGCTTAAGGGTCCCCCAATTTTTCTTGTGCAAACAAGTACAGCGCAGGCATTTTTTCATGCTTCGAATTTCAAGAACATGCACCTAAATTTGTGTGAAATAACAAAACAATGTAGGAAAGGATTCATATTTTTGGGAACAAGTAACCTAAGTAAAAAGTTTTTTTAGTACATACACAGTACACAGGTTAGTACAGTAGACTCTCAGTAACTGCAAACTTGTTAAATAGAACAATTATCTAGGATATTATTGGTTTCATGCCTAATTGCCACTTGCTTGTTCATTTTTTAGTAAACGGAATTCCTGTTAAATGAAACATAATTTTAGGTCCCTTCAGGTTTCGTTAAATGAGAGTATACTTTATTTTAAGTTTGTATAATTGACGTAACTCTACAGAAGAATATGAAAGGAACGCAGAGTGCTCATGACAGGCGCTAGATCATGTGCACGATGCCTGTGTTGCCTACAGTTATTATGTGTGCTTACCTGTACTGAAAAAGCCCTAAATGAGAGTACTAATCAACTTCTAATACTAATTATGCATGTATAATCTAGTCATTACCATCGTATGTTTTTACCATGATAACATAACAAGAGTATTAGTTATTTAAGGTGCTTTCAATTAGAAATTACCTAAAGGTTTGTCTTATTTCTGACATTACAGGTGTGCAGAGTAGGCACAGAAACGGAGCAAGGCAAATTTGGCTATTACAACATTAATGAAAATGTTTACATGTTCGAGACCACTGCATCTATCGAAGACAGGGTATGTTTTTTTTAATACAGTCCTCTAGTTAATTCAGCAAATTCGTAATTGATGCAATGCTCAGAGGCTTGCTCCTCATTGGGAGCAGCTCGAGTAGATAGTTGTACTTAGCAGGAATTTTAAGGTGCACTGATAAAGCGTAGTGTCAGATATCACCTGATGCTACCTCTTTGCTAGTAATGTATGCAACCTAGGAGGATTTGTTAATTGTTGTTCTTTACCATCTTTGCAATGATGGATTGAGGGTGTAGGTTCGATTCTCAGCCACAGGGCCACACACTGATGGGGGCAAAATGCAGAGAGCTCTAATGTGCCTAGGTTTCGGTGTTTGGCAAAGAACCTCAGGAGGTCAAAATTATTCCAGAGTCCACTTATAGTGGGTTCAGGCGACAAACCAAACTGCTGTTTTGGCATTTGGCATCGCCGTTGTGTGATCCTTCACTTTGGTTGGGGCAGTTCATCGCTTAGCCGGGTACCATGAAGACCAGCAATGCTAAAACACTCTCACAGACCGCCTGTCCCCATCTTCAGCTCCAGGCTGCACAGTTGAAGATGTGGGGCATCAATAAGACCTTTTTTTCAGCAGCCGAGTGTGCCAGCGGCTCATCAAACGTGTGGTTTCTCTTTGAAGATGCCTATAGTGTATTCTTTGGGGTTAGAACTGGACTTGACTCAATCTTTATCTCATTCGTTTCGGACTGAATGCATGTCTCTGTGGCGCAAGGGGACGGACCACTCGCGTTGTTACTGTCATGACTCAGCCATTCGCGAATCGGTCCATTATCTGAGGTCACTGTTACAGCAGTGTGCCTCATGATTATATTGTGGTTTTGGCACCTAAAAATTCTAGAAAAGCAAATGTTATTAAGAAGTGTTGTATTGAGGTCTGTTGTTTTTTATACAAATAAGTATATAATAATCTGTAAGACATATTAATCTGTAACACTTTTTCATGTTCAGCCAAAGATATCCTTGCATTCTGACATATGTCATGCATAGCTGCCTTGAGTGTAATGCTGTCATGATCACAGAATTACATTTTCATGGAAGCAGCTATAATCAGGCCAAAATACATGTTCAAGTGCATGCTCAAAGAGATAAACTGCAAGGTCGCTTTGAGTTGCGTAGTTAGAGGTGCTGCTTTTGTGCGCAGATATCACGAGTGTCTTCCAAGGTCAAAGCAATGTGTGCGGCGGTCTTTGAACTTTACTTTGAGGACACTCACGGCTCCTGTGCCTCCGATGGTTTTGCCTTTCCTAGGGTGCGATACATTCAACAAGAGATGGCTGGTATGTGGAACACCTTTACGTAGTGGAGCAGGATGTAACTGTGCTATATTCTTTAGTCATTCTATTGCCTTGTTAAGTAGCTGTTGGAAATTCCCATTGCATAGTCTTTTAAAAAGATATATCTGCACAGGATCTAGGATGTTTTGGGAAAGGGATTTGCATTTTTTGTGTATACAGTAAAACTTCGTTAATTTGAGGTCACTGGGTCCGCGAGAAACCTTCGAATTAAGTGGTTTTTGAATTAATAGAACATACAAAAAGGGGGATGCGTTCAAACTAATCAGTGCTCGTCGTTTGCTGTTCCGGCTAGCTTGTGGCTCCAAAGGTTGTTTTCCAGCAATACCTGGTCTTTATTTTGCCGCAAGCATAGAGGAACGGTGGGCCTCGCTGCTGCCACCGAAAAAAGAAAAAGAAAACGCGTTCGTGATCAACTAAAATGTGTGCCTGCAGTGAACAAGACATGTTCACTGCAACACAGTAACGACACGCGGGCAGCATGTCGCTTGCTTCTTGCTGCGTCAGCACGTCATGATGCGACCATTCGCACATTCTTTCTATTATAATTATAAATTAAAAATTATAAAAGCTCACGATGTGTTTTGGCTGGAAAAAAAATTATCTTTGAAACTTTCAACTTAGTTTTCAAAATAAGTGTTGCTGGCAAGAACTCCGCCAGCAGTGCAAAGACGCGAATTGCTGGAGCAACCGGTAATCGGAGGTTTGCATACATCGTGATTTCGGCTAAACTGTTCTTTATTAATTTCTTAACAATCCCAAAAAGAATAGGTAAACCATGACCCGCTGACGTTGTGAGAAGCATGCACTAAGCTGCCCGCGTATCACCGCTGTGCTGCAGTGAAGCACGGCTTGTTTTCCTCAGGCGCACGTTTCGATTGACCAAGAGACCGTTTCTTCTTCTTTTTTTTTTGTGCTAGAAGTAGCAAAACTGAGGTGCTTCAGCTGCCACTCTTTAGTATCGATACGTTGCATTGCCTTGTGGCAATTAATGGCCGTCGTTTCCGTAGATTCGCGGCGAAATCGGTATCTGGAACTGGCACATGGCACCCAAAGTTTTCGAATTAACCGGACTGGTGCCGGTCGCCGCTTGAAATGATCCACTCTAACTTACATTGGAAAATACGGGACCACAGAAATCCTTCGAATTAAGTGGGATTTCGACATAACGGTGTTCAAATTAAGAAGGTTTTACTGTATTGCACATTAATTTCATCTGTAATGCATGACTAGAATAAAAAAAAAATTGTGTGGATGAAAAAATTGTATGGATGGAATGAATTTTGGATACTCAGCCATTGCATTTCACTACATCAGACTAGGCTAGTTTATGTGAGAGCAACTTTATAGACCTTTCCATGGATGGCTCCTTGGGCAGAGCCATGATCCTCTCTAGGCTGTACTAAATAGGTATGACCCTTAAAAAACGCTTTGCCAAGGCTGTGACCTCAGCATTGTACTCCTGCGTGCAGCCCAGCATGACGCTGTTTTGCTCTTCTGTGATAAGGTCTATAAGACTGCACAAATTTGATACTAAAGAGAAGACAGGCCTGTAACCAGAAGCATTGGTGCAGCAGTTCATTGTCTATACTCTTGCCTTGTTTTTTTACTGTTATTTTAAGTGATGGTCGTGCACATCTTTAGATAATTTATGATCTTAGTTTAGCACTGCTAGAATTCTGGTTATTTTGATTAATTTTTTTGGTGTCAAGTTGTCAAAATTAAGCTAGATCTTCCTGCTTCTAACATCTTGAAGCTGTGACAAAGGTTCCGGACACCACCACTGAGATGGAACCAACAGAAACACCGAGTAAGCTTACTGTTATATATCATTTTGTGCTGTTAATAATTAGCATAAGTGCATAATCAAGCTTTCAATGTGAAACTTCACTGTGTTGCTTTTTATGTCATCAAGCTGTTACAAAGACCACTGACACCAGCACTACGATGAAAACAACAGAAAGTGAGAGTAAGCCTGAATTTTAACTTTTTATGCTGATGGTAACTGTTGTAATTGCAGAATCAAACTGGCAAAATTAATCTACTGTGTGTTTCTTATTATGTCCTTTAGCTGTTACCCTCGACACCAGCACCACGGCAGAATCAACAGCAACAGAGAGTAAGTCTAATATTTTCTTTTTTTTTGCATTGATGCTAATTAGCATAATCAGTCTGGGAAAGTTTAACTGCATTGCATTGCTTTTATTTGCTGAAGCTGTCATAAAGACCACTGACAGTAGCACTACAATGAAGCCGACAGCAACAAAAAGTAACCTTACTATTCACATAAAATTATCGTAAATTTTTACGCAGCACACTAACTTTAAGTCATCATATTGACAATGCAGAAGGTTCAGTTCTTCTTCTGAACAATGCATCTTGTTCTCTTTTGGCCACACGTTAGCACAACTAGCATAAACGAGTTAGATACACAAACACAGGCCCTGCCTCTGAAGTGAGTATGTTGATTAATTATGATTAGTGTTGACATCAGTCCACAAATGTGATCCAATTCATATGTGGGGCTTAACGTCCCAAAACCGCCATATGATTATGAGAGATGCCTTAGTGGAGGGCTCCGGAGATTTGGACCACCTGGGGTTCTTTAACGTGCACACAAATCTGAGCACATGGGCCTACAACATTTCCGCCTCCATCGGAAATGCAGTCGCCACAGTCGGGATTCGAACCTGCAACCTGCGGGTCAGCAGCCGAGTACCTTAGCCATTAGACCACCGCGGCGGGGCCACAAATGTGATCCAAGCTGGAGTAGTTAGTACCATTCATTTGCTACGGAAGGTTTGTGCTCTGTATATTGCTTTGCAGGGGAGTTTAGAGCTATAATTAAGAAATCAATAAATATATTTCCCTAAAATTTTTTTGGGCTAATCATAACTTCAGGGCTGAATTCTTAAGGATGCTTGAGAGCACACTTTTGATGCTGGATTATCTTCCTGCATATAACAGGCCTTCTGAACTACTATATTATGTACGGGGCCGTCCACTCTTAGTATGAACACCGTGCCTCGTAGCTGCGCTCTGCGGGGTGCCAGCGCTAGCAATGCGGCTGCGCATCGAAGCTTATCGACACAGGTGCACAAGAGCGTGGAGGTGGGGCTTAATTTCGATTAAAGGCGCAGGAGCGTGCCGTGCCTGTTTTGCCGTGAAGCAAACATAAAGCACCTGAGAAACCACTAACGTTGCAAGAAGGCGGGCTTATCTCAGCGTAACGTGCTGTGTAGTTACGGTATTTGAGACGTGGGTGATCCCTCTTGTTTCAGTAGCAAAACACCGGTCTAATTTATACATTGTTGCAAGCTCTAGAGTATTGGTTTTGGTTGGTTTGTGGTGTTTTAATCTGTGAAGGAATTTCGCCGCTGAGCGGTGCTCTGAGAAGTTTCTGCTACCGGGAACTATCTACTGTGGTCTGAAATTATGTGCGCCAGGGCGTTTCTGCATTTCTCTCTCATTTAAACATGGCACGTGCTGCCGCGATCTAAATTGTGTCTCCCGACTAACTTTAGCTGAACTTTCGATCACTAAGACTCGGCAGCGGGGCATTCTAACAGCACTACACATTCTGCACGTATCAAGATTCATAAATCTAAGACATTTGTTTTTGTGTGCTTTTTTGAAGCATTGCAGACAGTAGATACCAAGTTGCGTGCTGTGTTTCTCAATGTTAGCAACTATCAGTAGCGGGTAGGTTCCCCTCCAGCTCCAATAACCGCATTCATTGTATTGAAGAGGCTGCTGTATATGGACCGACAAATGCTGGTGTTGGCCCTGATTTGCTCCCACTGCTTTCGGACAATAGCCCAAAGTGTGTCCGCTGAGACGGCATGGAGTTGTCGGTAGGCCAGCGTGAGCTTTATGTTGTCTCGAACATTTTCAATGATGCTTAAGTAAGGCGACTGTAGAGGCCATTCAGTAACTGCCACGTCTTGACTCTCTAGATATTGAGCAACGTTTTTTGTTTATGTATTGGGAGTTATCATGTTGCAGGATGAAATCGTTCTCTGAGAATGGTCCCCCAACGAGATATGTGAGCAGCACGTTGTCTAAAGCTCACAGTAGGCGTCTGCCGTGAAACGACTTTCAATTCTGACAGGGGGTCGCAGTCTTTGAGCAGTAACGATGTGGTGTTAGGCCAGCCAGTCAAAATACTCTCAGTAAAACAACGTCTTGTGACTTGAGCGTATACAGCTTTTTGATCGGACAAACGGAGCAGATAATTTGAGAATAATGTGCAACCCTGTATCTTTATCGCCAGGAGATAATAATATGTGGTGCTCATTCTACGCGAACCACAACAGACCCCCTCAGGGTGATTTTGGAAGGCCAGAGTGCTGGCCCAGCGTAACTTTCTGGCAGAAGTCTTTTTTTTCTTTTTTTTCGCTTGTACAGATGATTGAGGTGGAAAAAAAAAAGCGAACCGGAGAACGAAGATGCTAGTACTGTCTCATCCATTCCCTGTTTGTGTTCCTTTGAATGACTTAGGTTTTGGTAACATGCGCGTGGGTAAAACAGGCTACTTCAGGTGGTGCCTGAAGAATCTTGTAAGATATAATACAAAAATATGCGAGGTTAAACTTATGGCGAAATCACGCAAGGCACTCCCCGAAAAAAAGACCCCCATATACATGCGCTCTCTGTGCCGTGTACGCCTTGTTGGCTGAGTGCACCGAAGAATGAAATTCAATCAGAAGTATAGGGTACTAAAGTACGAAGGAGGAAGTGAAGAACATCAAGGCACTGACGTAGTACTTGGGATTTTATCACACATATTGAGAACTTAGTATTTGTTGCATTTCCTGCATTTGGCTAGGGGGTGGTGAAGAGAAGACTCCGGAAGATGTGAACCTCAAAAAAGGACAAGCTGTTTTCCAACGGTTAGGCATTTAGGTAGTGACTAGTGCATTATTACACGCTGGTATATTCCAATACATTACGTGTTTAAGCACAAGGTAGTGAAAAAGAGTGGGGCGCCTGTTTACCAATAAAAGGCTAGATAGGTAGAAAATACCAAGCTATTTGTTTAACAAGACAGCAGAAAGAAGAGGCCCAATGCAGGTCTGCGGAGAGTAGGGCGATGCTATAAACGCCCCAATGTTTTGTGATATTCATACTTTTGAAAAAAAAATAAAAAATGCCTCAAGACTGACATCACGGGATGAATATGCAGCTGGTATTACTGTAATTTCATGGACACAAAATGAAAAAGCGCCCGCACTCACATAATTTTAGGTCACGGTAAATAGTTCCCGGTAGCAGAAACTTCTCAGAGCACTGCTCAGCGGCAAAACTTTTTCACAGAATAAAACGCCACGAACCAAGCAAAACCAATACTCTTGAGTTTGCAACAATGTACATATTAAACCTGTACTCTGGTACTAAAACAAGAAGGATTAACCACGTCTCAAATACTGTAACTACACAACATGTTGCGCTGAACTAAGCCCGCTTTCCTGCAACGTTCGTGGTTTCTCAGGTGCTTTAGGTTTCCTTCATGGCAAAACAGGCACAGCGTGCTCCCGCACTTTCATTCGAAATGAAGCCCCGCCTCCCCGCTCTTGTGTGCCTGTATCAATGAGCTTCAATGCGCGACCGCACTCGTAGCGCTGGCACTCCACGGAGCGCAGCCACGCAACGCGGTGTTCATACTAAGAGTGGACGACCCTGTAAAACAGATAACGTTTAACTGTTCCTAGAACAAGTGAAGATTCAGTTGTTTCATAATAGACACATCATGTTAGCTTCTCTATTGTTAGTGACTTATTATGCTCCGACTTATTATGCCCTGCTTTAACCTAATGTGGTCATTGTGAAACCTCATGGTGCTTTTTTATTTATTATATTTTCAAGTTGTGAAAGAGAGCACTGGATGAAGTGTTGTTAACAGGGTTAAAACTCACACCAAACAACACATTCCTTTATTTTTTTCTTGAAGTGTAATAATAAATGCATTGGAATTGTGCTATGCAAATTTCATGCGTTTCTGACTGTCCATTTTAATTCATCACTGAAGGGGTTAAAATTCAGTATGTGTCACGCTGTATGCATATTGTGTGAAAATAAGGCCGTCATGTCCATTACAGTATATTTTTTTTGCAACAGTGTCACATATTAGAAAAAAAATGTTGATAGTTTTCATCTACACATATACGCGATAATCTGAACATTGATTGATATGTGGGTTTAACGTCCCAAAACCACCATATGATTATGAGAGACATCGTAGTGGAGGGCTCCAGAAATTTCGACCACCTGGGGTTCTTTAACGTGCACCCAAATCTGAGCACACGGGCCTACAACATTTCCTCCTCCATCGGAAATGCAACCGCTGCAGCTGGGATTCGATCCCGCGACCTGCGGGTCAGCAGCCGAGTACCTTAGCCACTAGACCACCACGGGGGGGGGGGGGCAATAATCTAAACAGGCCACAGCATATCAGCGATGGCATTTAAGAGATAGTTTGAAGAATCTATTGCAACATAATTAATGATGACCTTTAAGAGATATTTTGAAGCATTCGATTACAGCAGCATGTTTCGTGCAATAAGTTAATGCAGTTAATGCATAAATTAACAAAACACTGTTTTTTTACTATTATATGCAATATTATTTCAAATAGCCCAAAAAAGCATCAAACAGTTAGAGATGCTACTTGTAGATTTTTTTTTTATTCGATACTATGTGAAGTGATCATGCTTGTTTTTATTGGACTTTCTTTCAGAATAATTCTCAAGGGCTTTGAACAGTTCGTTTAAGGCTTTGTATGAGTTCCAGAATAGTTTCTGCAAAATCAACATTTATGATTTAATTTTATTGATGGTACGATATCATTCACACCCTTTACACTTCGAGACTTAATTCCAATTTGTGCTTTTTCAGATACACCATGGTGGTGGCACACTTCTGAAACTCAGCCAGGTACTCCACATTTATAATTATATTGAAAGGAAAAGTTATACTTTACTTGAGCTGATTTCTGGGTTCATGCTGGTTTCACACAACTACCAAAGTAATGAAGACAGAAACACAGGCGAACTAAATAAAGCAGTTGTCAACTGTTTCACTTGTCCGGGCAGCAGCTTTGATTTTTCAGGAGGGATAATGTTGTGCAGCTTACTTAAAAATGTATAGCTTTTATCTTTGTGATTATTAGAAGGTTTGTTTTAGATGATAAAACATTTTATTCTTTTTTCAGGTGGTTCTTCAAAGCCGACACCTTGGTGGGAAAGTGAGATACTGTTAATACTTTATTATACTTTTCTTGATTTGTTAGCAGTAGTAGTATTGAATGCTCTCAAGTATCAATTACAACTTCAGTTCATAGTTGAAGTTGGGCTAAGTATAGTACACTGCACAAATATTAAGAAAGAGAAGACAAGACGTTGAGTGCAATGTGTCTCTGTTTTCTGCCTCTTTATCTGTGTAGTGTATAATTAGTGCAACTTCAACTGCGAACAAGATGGCTTGTAGCTCTACAGCATTTTTTTATTATCTGTGCACTAAACATATGACTGGTAAGCTCTTATGCTACTATGCTCATCAATTAAATATATGCCCACCATGATGGCTTATTTTGACTCTTATGTGCTGTTTATAATTAAAGCATAGGTTCAGTTCTCAGCCACGACTACAGATTATTGATGGCAATAAATTCGAAAGTTTTCATGCCCTTAAATTCGTGTGCATGTTAAGGAACCCTTGATGCTCAAAATTAATGCTGAGTCCCCACTATGGCTTATAATCATAATAAGATTCTAGCTCGTAAACCCCCCGTCTTACATTGATAGCATCCTCATTGTTAAAATGTAAGTTGAGATCTGTTGTTCCTTGATGACATGTAAATGCAATCAAGCTGGATCATCTCAGTTACACTTTCGTGCATGTTTAGCAAGCTTCATGGCATCTAAATGCATAGCATTTCTTAACGAATTGATGGTGCTTTAAGTGTTTCTATGTATCTATTTATCTCACTGGCCACCTAATGCTGATCACCTTTTTAACTTCTTGTGTACCAAAAATTGGTATGTGAAGGTAAGAGGATTTGACAATTATGGCTGTCGTCATGACATGACTAACGTGAAAATCTTGTTGCGCACGTCCTCAAACCCGTTTTGGCAGACGTGTTGTACACATCTATATGTAACAGGCTGCGGTGTACATGTATGCGCCACAGGTAACTGACAGTTTGTTGCTACCCAGAAATGACAACAGACGGTACTTCAAATGTGAGATCGTTAAGGGAAACTGACACCAGCAGCGTTTACCCTACAAATGCAGAGAATAAAAAAACTGCTGATCCCACGCACTGGGGCAATCGATTTAATGCAAAGCAGCCAGCATGGAGTGAGTCGTGCTGTACATGACATGTCGTAATTTGCATGCTAAGACCTGTCATTTATGTTTGTCATACAGTCACGTGTCGCCATACCGATATATGTGTATATTGAGCTGGTTTTCATAATATGACCTGACAATGTGTTTACCATAAAGTCATTTTATGCCATACCAATCTAGGTATACATCCCATAAACAATACAGCCAAGAGAGCACAAAATCATAGGCAGGCAGGCAGACAGAGAAAGAGAGATGGACCGAAAGACAGATACGCTTAACCCCTTAACTGCTCTTTTTTTTTTTTGAAAACTTCTGTTCAAAAAGTGACAATTTTTTTTTAATTGCTGACTTCAAATCTGACTGTACTAAAAAGTAGCTAGTCGATGCTGAAAAAATATTTTTCTTAATTTTTATTTGAACATACTGTGGGCTCAATCGGCCCTTGCAGAAGTGGTTACAGAGAGCAGAAAAAAGAAAACATCTCAAAGAAAAAAAGTCACAATCATTAACAGAAATGAGTAGCGCTCACCTCCGCAACAAATAATTCCACAGTAATGTATTTCACAACACTATCCGGTAACATGTTCCATTGAGCAATTGCCAAGGGGAACAGTGAACATTTGGGAATATTAATGCAGCTTGAAGGTTGTCTAATCATTTTACTGTGGTTAGTTCTCGATGAGTGCAGAAAAGGATGACGGAAATAATGTGACTTCGTAATCTCGAAATGATCGTGGGACAAAAGATAAATGAATTTAGGTTTGGAAACTATTTTTCGTTGTAAAACTTTTTCAAGGTTTGCTTTCGCTAATAGCTCAGGGACGCTGCATTGTCTAGAATACTCGAATATATGAATCTGGCAGCTAGTTTTTGAATGAGTTCAGTTCTATCAATTAGGCGTTTTTGGTAAGGGCTCCAGATCAAATCAGCATACTCTAATGAGGGTCTAACAAGCATTTTGTAGGCATTTATTTTCGCATGCAGTGGTGTGTTACATAGCTTTTTTCGTAAAGAAGATAGTTTGTGTTCGGTGGTCTGAGAGATGGAGGAGATGTGAGGCTCCCAATTGAGACTAGATTTGAGGACAAGGCCCAAGTATTTTACCTGATGACATCTTTCGCGTGTGGTGTTACCAAGGGTATAACTGAAATTTATTGTTTTTTGGGGGGGGGGAATGTAATACACATGGTTTTTGATGCATTAAGTCTCGTGCCCCATGTATTGCACCAGAAACAGATAGATTGCAGTGAATTATTCAGTCTTATTCGATCTCGTAGATGACGTGCTACTGTGTATACTACACAGTCTGCAAAAAGCCACATACTTGGTCAAATCAACAGAATGAAGTTTATTTCTGAACAATACATAAAAAACCAGCAACCTGCTGCTAATAAAACTTAAAACCTTATAAACCAAGCAATTACAGATGCCTTTTTTTTTTTTTCACTTCTGTGGGCTAAGCACCTTTGGGTTATTTCACCCAGGGAGCTTCGGGGTTGCGTGGAAAATATTAAAACTTGGAGTAATGCAAGGTGAATTCACTGGCAGACGCTTGCAATGTTTGCGTTCGAGCTGTCTTCATGATCACCGGATCAGCTACTCAATTCTCCATCATCGCTGTCCTCACTTCCAGGCAGACGATAAATATCTGTACTCGAATAATCATCACTCAAAAAAGATGACGAAAACGAATATCATTTTTTTTTTCGTGTTCACGGGCCAGCTATGCATGGGTCACCTCCACTGCACACCATCTTTCTAAACAAAAACCGCACTCCTGCCGCAGAAGAAAAATGAATCCTCGAGAAGATGCTGCCATCTAGTGAATGACGCGCAATGTAAGCTGTAAGTGCGTGCTTCTCCGTCTGAATGCCAGAGGGGAGTACCTATTCAATTAGGACGAATTCTACTCGGCCAAAGCAGTTTGGTGACAGTTTGGGCTGGACGATTTCTGCTCATTAAAAGCAGTTAAGGGGTTAAGGTCGCAGGAGTTCACTAAGAAATGCTTCACAATTAAAAATCTGGATCCCAGCAGGAATAAAATCCAAGCAATATACAGGACAGTCAGGTATTATAATACAGAGCCAGGCCTTGAGACTGCCTTCGAAAAGGACTCAATGCTGGCGTAATGTAGGTGCAGTCTAAATTGTGGTTTCATTGCTGGGTATAGATTTCATTTTCATAATGAAGTGATAAACATTACATATGTACATCTATGATGTCGGCATCATGCTGGGTTAGTATCAATGGTAGTTCCGCTATTAAGTGTACTTTTATAGTAGTGTAATAACATTACATATATATTACTATGATTCAGCAACTTACATTCAAATGTTGCTCAACCTGATAGAAGGACACTAACAAAAATTACGTATGATATTTACATCATCGCACTGTAAATTTAACTTCGATTCGATAATACTGACATCAGTGCTTTAACACGAGTGCTCACATTATGTCAAACCATAAGTTACCAGTTATTAATGCAGCTGACGCTCCTGTTAAGCCCACGATCTGCGCTCAACTGCCACACTAATGAAAACACTTTAATCCAACTCTTAATGCTTTCTTAAAGCTCAAAATTGCAGCATTGACAATTGCTGGCCAACTGCCTTGCATGGAACAAGTTCCCACAAAGTGTGGAATCTGCCAAACACTTAAATCACAGCTGCACACATCTTTCATGTTCCTAGAAGTCAACTTTTTTTTTCTAAGGTTTTTTCTCTGAAGGTACCACTACAGGAGGGACACATAGTCATAGTGGTAAGCGTAAAATAGTAGTATAAGGGAATTGGCATCAAATGCATTTGTTGCTAAGCTTCTAAAGGTTAACTTATTTTTTGAAGAAAGTCCCACAACGAAAGTGACACATAGCCATAGTGGTAAGCACAAAATAGTGCCTTCAGTGAATAAGAATATGACATATTTATTGTCAAGCTTCTAAACATTAACTTACTTTTTTGCAGAAAGTCCCACAACAGGAGAAACACATAGTCAAAGTGGTAAGCATAAAATAGTACTATCAGTGAATTGGCATTAAACACATTTGTTGCCAAGCTTGTAAAAGTTAACTTAACAGAAGTGACACATAGTCATAGTGGTAAGCACAAAATAGTACTTTCAGTGAATAAGAATCTTGCACATTTGTTGTCAAGCTTCTAAAGGTTAATTTACTTTTTGCAGAAAGTCCCACAACAGAAGTTACGTATAGTCACAGTGGTAAGCATAAAATAGTACTTTCATTAAATAGGCATTTGACTCATTTTTTGTCAAGCTTCTAAAGGTTAACTTATTTTTGCAGAAAGTCCCACAACAGAAGCAACACTTAGTCACAGTGGTATGCACAGAATAGTACTTTCAGTTAATGGGCATCTGACACATTTTTTGTAAAGCTTCTAAAGGTTAACTTAATTTTTGCAGAAAGTCCCACAACAAAAGTGACACATAGCCACAGTGGTAAGTACAAAATAGCACTTTCAGTAAATGGGCATCTGACACATTTATTGTCAAGCTTCTAAAGGCTAACTCATTTTTGCAGAAAGTTCCACAACAAAAATGACACATAGTCATAGTGGTAAGCACAAAATAGTACTTTCAGTAAATGGGCATCTGACACATTCGTGGTCAAGCTTCCAAAGGTGAACTTATTTTTTGCAGGAAGTCCTACAACAGAAGTGGCACGTAGTCATAGTGGTAAACACAAAATAGTACTTTCACTAAATAGGCATCTTACACATTTGTTATCAAGTGCCTAAAGAGTCTTTTTTCTTTTCAGAAAGTCTCACTACAGAAGCGACACATAGTCATAGTGGTAAGCACAAAATAGTACTTTCAGTGAATATGTATCTGACATGTTGTCAAGCTTCTAAAGATTGATTTATTTTTTGCAGAAATTTTCACAACGGAAGGGACACACAGTCACAGTGGTAAGCAGGAAACAGTACTTTCAGCAATAGGCATCTGACAGATTTATTGTCAAGCTTCTAAAGGCTAATTTATTGTTCCAGGAAGTTCCACAACAGAAGAAACACATGGTCACAGTGGTAAGCATAAAATAGTGCCGTAGAAACCTGCATATGGGCTGGACTCGCATATAGTCTAAG